TAACTATATACTTAATTAAAAGTTTCAAACTTGAAGCTAGTTCTCCTCACCCAGGGGCCCCCCAGCCAGGTACCAGGACAGCAGACGGAGGCCGAGGGGGATGGGGAAGCTGGTAACCGGGAAACCTTTGGAGATCCTGTCAAAGTCAGACTTTCAACAGTCCCTCCAAACATTAAATAGAGACATTCTGTCACTTAATAATTACACAGGGTGCCCGGGGGGCTCAGTCAGTTAAATGTTCAACTCTAGGTTCCGACTCAGGTCATGATCTCAGGGCTTCGTGGGTTCAAGCCCTGTATCGGGCTCTATGCTGGCGGCACGGGGCCTACTTGAGATTCTCATTCTCTCATTCTCTCTCTCTCTCTGTCCCTCCTCCCCCTCCCTCTCTAGATACCCCTCCCCCCACTCGTGCTGTCTCTCTCAAAATAAATATAAATTTTTTTTAAAAGGTAGAAGATTAAAATGAAAACATGTGCTTTACTGAAAAATAACATGTAATAGGAAATTTAGCAATTCCCATTTTCCACTGACTTTCTCAAGCCACATGCAAAAAACCTGCCTCACACAGTTAGGTTTGCTGGTCTTCAGAATAATTTAGGACAACTGTCACAAATCGGCTTGTGAAAAAGCCCTCTCCAAACAAGTACTCCCTTTTCTGCTTATCTCCAAACTACTGAAAGAACGGGGCTCCGCTGCAAAAGCCAGATGACTTTGTTCTTTCCACACACCAGAACGTGGGTGCCCCAGAAACAAATCTGTGACCAGCGTTACAGTAAACCCGCACGTACCATCTACCAACTTACCCAACCACTAGCGTTGTCTACACCTGCTCAAAAGAATGGCTAAAAGCAGCTACTAACTGAGCACTTACTACACGCCGGGTCCTGTTCCACATCTCGTGCACTCACCAAGCTCTCACAGAAAGCCTTCCAACCCTACTCCCCTCTGCTGAAATCAGGGACCGCAGGTGACTGACCTCACTCAGGCAAGCATTTAGTGGGTAAGTACCACGGAAAAGCCTACACCGCGTGCTAGAAGGAACGGGCGACGGAGAAGATTTTCCTCTCTTCCCTGGAGTCCGTTATAATCCAGGAAAGACTCCACGTAAAGAACAAACTAAATGTCATGAGGAAACATAACCGAGTGGCGGCATCAGTCAAGCACCGCGCAGGAGAGTGATGGGGAGGTCATTCGCAAAATCGGCGGCAGCTTCTTTCACCGAAGTCACAGCATTTAAGCCGAGCCGGCAGGATTAAGGCCTCTGACAGGAGGAAGAAGGCACACAGGAACTAGACGCACATGCAGAGAGTGGCCAAGGGTCAGGGGCTGAAACACAGGCGAGCGGGCAGGCCGGGGCTCCCCGGGGAACTGAGGCCAGGGGGCCTGGTCTCCGTGATTTCTTTCCCACTAATTCCCAACTGGTGCCAGTGTCTCCAAGGTGGAGATCTCTGCAGGGAGGAGCCTACCGGCAGAAGGAGGCCACATCTCGCAGGTGTGAGAGGAGGCGGAGGCCGCCGAGAGGCCCCCCTGCCCCCCTGCGCATACTTAGCGGGTGGGCGCACAGCAGGGTTCGATCCACACGCTGAGCAACCCTGGTAACTGCACGGGAGGACCAGGGAGAAGGAGAAAGGGAGGCCAGGCTGCAGGCCCACACAGCCGTCTCCGCAAGGACGGGCCGAGGAACCACGGAGGAGGACGCGTGGAGGAAGCTCTGCTGAATCCCTGGTCAGGGGTCTCGGTCCCGGTCGAGGACTCAAGAGTTTCCGGCCTTGGGAAAGCGGAGGCCTTAGCACCCAGGCGAGAGCAAGGACGTGCAGCGCACAAAGTGTAGCCACTTTAAGTGACACCGCGGAGCAAAAATAGCACGGACACGACTGTTCTCATTTCACAGAACAAAGCCGCCGAAGTCCAAGAGAGATGTCACCGACCTGCCCACAGTGACACAGGGACAGAGAGGAGCCAGGACACCAGGCTGAGTCTTGCAAATCTAGGCCTAATGTTCTTTAAAAAGCGCCCCCTCCCCCCAAACAAGCAAGCTACCTTTTCTACACAGAACAAATCTCCAAAACAAACAAACAAAAAGCTTTAAAGAAAAAGCGTGTCATCTGCTGGGAGTGCCGTTCTATTCCAGACAGAAGAAATATTTTAAAAGTTGTGTTCCGGCGGCCTCTACCCGAGAGACGGGGTGCACGGACTTGACAGTCAGCAGGGCAGGCTCACGGACCCTGAAGTTCGGACAGGGAGGCTGTTTGCACTTTGTATAAAAATACCAGCTGGTATTATGGGAGAGATCAAAAATAACTGAAAAGAAATACTCCAAGTATTAATTATCCTCAACACAGTAAAACTACATTTTGAATGTCATGGCTGGTACTCTTACATCTCATTAAAATACTCTGTAACAATGAAGACAGACTTGTATTTTATTTAGCAAACATTTAACCGCTTTAATGTTTAAGCCCTGCTTTAATGTTTAAGCCCTTCGGCAAGGTGTCGGGGGTAAAATAATGGCACGGTCACCACAACCAGAGTTTAACGTACACAATGCAATGTGATACAGGCAATAATGAAAGTAAAAATAGAGGATTATGACTGCACCAATGAATAATGCACGCCGACAGGATTTCCAAAGGGCTCCAGAGGACATAAAATCAGGTGTGGACCTTTAAAAATCGGAGGGGGCAAGAATGAGACGGAGCATTCCAATCAGAGGAAAGGACATAAACAGAGCAGGGAGGAAGGTTCAGGGAACCAAGCAGAGCCCCACTCAGTGGGACACTGTGGCGAGGTGACCGAGAGGACATGTAAAGTTCAGGGATGATGGGGGGCACACGGAGGGACCTTGAACGTGACGCTAGTGGGTCTGGAGTGTAGGCTCCAACGACAAGCAGTCTTCACTTTCTCAGCCAAGACACTGGCAAGATCCGCTGTGTAGGACTGAGGACTCCGGGCAGTGTGTGCACAGGAAGGGGTGGGGAGGAGTCTAAAGAGAAGGCATCAGCCCAGAGAGGAATCTGCGGCTTCAAGCACTAGCACTAATCTAATTAATATTTTAGGAGAGGGCTGTTGACACAATTACTTCACATCTCGCCTCCGCTGATCCCCCGAACCAGCCTGATGCAGGTATTGCCATTCCTTCCATTTTACAGACCCAAAAACCTGCTATGAGGCTATTAACTGCTCCAAGTCAAATGCTGCTGTAACAGGAAGAAAACCCAGGGACACTATGCAAAATTAAAAGAATCCCTCCTACTGCTTTTGAAAAGTGCTGCTGTAAAAGCAGGGTGACCTATAATTCCATTAGAAAAATGCTAAAAATCCATGTAATTTTCCTAAAGGTTTGCAACTCGTGTAACAAATAAGCTTATTAACCCTTAAAATAATTACAGACTTGCTTCATGTTTATGCCATGTTAAAGACCTGTGCTTTTCTTTAAAAAACAAAAGCCCCCTCTAACTCCACCTCCTATGGAATTAAATACTTTAAAAAAGCAGTATTCCCCCCTCCAGTCAATGTTCAGTGGCCAAAGCTGCAAAGCCAGCAGAATAACTAAGGCATGTGCCCAAACCGAAGCAGTAAACTACTTCTTCAATACTTAAAAATGCATTATTTTGCAAATACAGCGACTGAATCTAGTATACAGTAAGACTGCAAGAGACTCTGCTAAAGGTATGCAAAGGCATAATTTTGGAAACGGTTTTTGTCACCAAAAAAAAAAAAAAAAGAGGCATAAAACGTTCCTGAGACCCAGTTAAGAATGGATCAATCCAAAAGAACCGAGGACAGAATATCTGACCTTCAGGACGCAGAGTGGTAGATTCCCCACCCCCTCCTCTAAGTTCATAGTCTGCGAAGCGGTCAAGGTGTTCTGGCACAGGTCTCACGCTGCACAGGAGAAATCTAGCTTGGGGATTTGGCTGCTCAGTTTCATCCACAGCATTATCACCTATTATCAAATCTGCGCCCCCCCCCCCCAATCTACTACCGGTGTTTGGTTTTAACAAGCTAAGGCCCAAAGATGTAAGACGCATTCTTGGAAACTTGGGACAATGAATCCAAGTATCCAACCTCGGTAATTATTAGCAGGAACCACAATTAAATCATCCCAAGGAACCGCACGTCTCCTCCCCGCTTAATCGGCTATACCTTCTACTAGGTGAAGTCTCTGCACCCTGCCCACAGAGGCCCCAGACTGGAGGGCGGCGAAAGAGAAATCAAAACTGGCTCCTGCCACGAAGGGGGGGGGGTACGGGGGGGTCTGCTCCAGGACCTCGTCAGGCCCGGTCACCTGCGCGCCGCCCGCGGCACGCCGAGACTCCGGGAGGCGGGCGACACTCCCCGCGCGACAACCCCGTGTCGCCAGCCGGCAGGCGCGGGGAGCTGGGCAAGGCCGCCGCGGCCGCGCGAGCCCCTCGGCGGCCCGAGCCGGCGACTCCTGGGGCCCCGGCGCTCCCGCCCGCGGCCGTCACCTTCGCCGGACCCCGCGCCCCGCCCGCCCCGCGCCACAGGCCCGCGCGCCCGTCAGTCAGCGCCCGCCCCGCCCCGCGCGGCCCCTCCCCCGCCGGCGGTCCCCCCGCCGGGGCCCCCAAAGGACAATGCTGGAGGAGAGGGGAGGGGCGCAGGGACGCGCGGGCCGAGGGCGGCGCGGCGAGCGCCCACCCGCCGGCCGCAGGGGAGCCCCGCCGCCGCCGCCGCCCGCGCTCCGGCCCCGCGCCCCGCCTCGCCTCCCCGCAGAGAGCCGCTCCCAGCGCGGCCGCACCGGCCCATTGTGCGGACTCATCGTCCGGCCCCCGCGCGCCGGCGCCCGGAGCGCGGCCGCGGGGGCCGGGGCGGGGGGTCTCCGCGGCCCGCCGCACGCCCGGGGCCCGGCCGGGCTTCTCGCGGAGCCCGCGGCCCGGCGGGGCATCCCGGCCTCCCTCAGGCCGGCCCCGGGCGCCTCGGCGGCGGCGGCGGCGGCGGCCCGACCCGCGCCCGCCCGCCCCGGCCCCCGCCCGCGGTACCTGCCGAGCGGCCGGGCGGCGCGGCGGCCGGCGGGGGCGCCTCCTCTCGCGGCGAGGGCTCCGAGCGGCTGCCGAGCGCCGGCGGCCCTGGCCTGCGCCTTACGTAAAGCGGCGGCGGCTCCGGCGCCACTCGGCGGAGGGCGGGAGGCGGCGCGCCGCGGCCGCTCCGCTCCGTTACCCGGCAACTGGCCTCAGCGCCCCGCCAACCGGGCGCGCTCCATATCCTTCCGCCCAGCCGCCGGATTACATCAGCGCCGGCCCGCCCCGCCCGGCCCCGCCCCTCCGGCCGGCCGGCCCCGTGGGCGGGCCGAGGGCCGCGGACCTGGCCGAGCCCCGCGGCTGGGCGTGGGCGCGGGGCGCCGCCGCGGGCGGAGGGCTGCTGGCTGGCGGGGGCCCACCCCACGTGCGGGCCGGCGGAGGGGAGACGCCCCCCGCGGAGGGGCGCGTGGGGCGGCTTTGGGAGGGAGCCCCTGAACTCCGCCGCGGCCGCCCCACCCCGGACCCCAGACCCGGCTGGGGCCCCGCGGCTCGCCCTGCGTCGCTCCACCCGCGGCCCCCGGTGCGGCCGCCCCACCCCGGACCCCAGACCCGGCTGGGGCCCCGCGGCTCGCCCTGCGTCGCTCCACCCGCGGCCCCCGGTGCAGCCCCCGCCTTTCCGGGCGCAAGCTCCACCTGTCTGCGCCCCCTCCTAAACCGCGTCCTGGGATGGCTGGAGTGGGCGGTTTAAAATAAAGACTTTAATTTTTTTTTTTTTTTTTTAAGAAACCTAGGAGACAACCTAAAGAAATGTGACATGGCTCTTTTTATTAAGTAGGCAAAAATAAATTCCGGAACATTCGAAAGTAGGAACCAAAAATGTGCACTAACCTTTTAATCAAAGTCTCTTCACACCCACCCACCTTACTTAGTGATGCGATTCCTGGTCCTGTCCTTAAAAAGCAAATTCCTAAGTATGAGCGGAGGATGGAGCCCAGGAGATCACCAATTTACAAAGGGGAGACCTGTCCAGGGGGGGAGTGACCTGCTTGGGGTCATTGGTCGTTGATTGATTTATTGAGCACCCACCAGGTGCCAGGCGCCCAGCCCCTCTGTTCAGGACTCGCACCGGCTCGCAGGCTCCTGGCAGAAGCGGACGTAGAACGGGGGCAGGGGGCAGCTGGGCAGGGTGCCAGGTGCTGGAGGGCTGGCATGGAGATCCCTCATTTACATACTACCTACAAAGTGGTTTTCGGCAAACATGTCTTTTACTCTTCAGGAGAATCCTGGATATGATCATCCCCATACCACAGGTAAGGAAGCAGAGGCTCAGAGAAAGTGATTTATCCTAAGCCTTGCTTGGGGTGGGGAGCACGCTTCTGACTCCCCTGTACCACACTGCCTCTTACAGGAGGCAGGATTTGAATCCAGACTCCGGGCTCTGAGGTCTGGGGTCTTCACTCGCACAGCTCCTCTGCATCATCTTGCTCAGAGTTTTGTTTTCCGAGGTTCTGGGGTTCATCTCGGTTGAATGTGTCACAAATCACAGTGCATTCAATCAACATCTTCTGAGCACCTGTGCTGGTTTGGCTCCAGGCCAGGCAGGGGTGGCCCAGCCCTCTTGGAGCTCGGTCTAAAAAGGGATGGAGAGGCAGGAAGGGTGTGGAAGAGCCAAGGGTGGTCTGGGGCAAAGGAGAGGCCGGTAAAGGAGCCTGGGAGTCTAGCTGCGAGGTACCCCCAAACCTGGGATTTCACACACCAGTGACATCTCCCTCCAAATAGGAGGGATTTGCCGTGTGATCAGCTTTTAATTTTTGTCACATCGGTAACATCGCTGTCATCTACACTCACCTTGTGAAAGAATTTTTGAGCCTCGAAAACCAAAAATAGTAACATTGTATCTCAGATAATCTCGGAAGAAAGGAAACACGGTGGGCAGTGTTAAAGCTATACACACACAAACACACTCGGAGTTTACTGACCTTATTTTTCTCATTTTTGCCACAGACCAGACTTTCTAAACCATAAAGTAGTGAAATCAGAAGGCTTCTTAGAGGACAGAAGTATTTAAACTGGGCAAGAATTAACTAGGATTAGCAGGATTTAGAGAGAGTAGGGGAAGATTACAGATTAGAGAACGAAAGTGTCTTGGTTACTTTGTTTTCTTAACAAAATAGCTCCCTGTGCTTCAGATGGTTTTGTGGGGTTTCTTTAATTTTTTAATTTTTTTATTTATTTTTGAGAGAGAGACAGCATGAGCAGGAGAGGGTCAGAGAGAGAAGGAGACACAGAATCTGAAGCAGCTCCAGGCTCCGAGCTGTCAGCACAGAGCCCGACGCAGAGCTCGAACCCACGAACCATGAGATCATGACCTGAGCTGAAGTCGGACGCCTAATGGACAGAGCCACCCAGGCGCTCCTCAGATGGTTTTGTTTTGATAAAAGTCCTAGAAGGTCCGGCTGACTCCAACCTTAGGGACTTTGCACTTCCTGAATCATCTCTCCCCCATATCTTTGCACAGCTGGCTCCTTCTTGTTCAGGGCTCAAATACAATGTCCCATGTTCAGAGATACCTTCCTTGATCCCCAGTTTAGAGGGATCTGTCTTCCCAGTCATGATGTAACGACCCGGTTTTTGGTTTTTTCTTCATAACTCTTATCAGTGTATGAAATTATCTTGACTGTGTGTTTGTTTAGTCATCAAACTCAGCCTTCCCCTCTCCCCCTCCCCAGCTCCAAGACCTGCATCCTAGGAAAGACACCATCTTATCCGCAGTGTTCACCCACCCATCACGAGACCTGCGAGTTTGTGGGCAAATGAGCGAATGGCCATTGTAACACAGTCCAAGTGGACAAGCAGAGAGAAAACAACTGCTCGCTCGAGTGAGCGTCTCAAACAGGACCCCTGCACTCTCCACTATGCCACCCTGCCTGAGACCTTCCTTAAAGCTCCTGAGTAGTGATCAGCTGAGGTCAAACTGGAACGACAGTAGTTCCTTGGCTCTTGAGGGCTGTGATCTTCAGGGAAGGAAAAGAGGCCAGAGGAAAGTGGGGTCAAGGCCCAACTGGTAGGATTCGCCACTTGAGGATTTCCTCGAGAGAAACCATCTTGGTCTGACTGTAAGTCGGCAGTTCATTCATTCCGCGTCTCCAGCCCCAGAACCACGGGCTGCACGAGGGCGAGGCGGGGAGAGGGCGCCCTCTGACCTGGACGTTCTGGATGCCAGTAAGGACTCAGGCTGATGCCAGCTGGGGCAGTGGTTTTTTAAACACACTCACGAGTCCAGCCAGAACTCTTTCGTGATGCCGCCGTGCACGCTGGCAGAGAGCGGCAGCTAGGCCTCCTTGGCTCTCTGATCTCGGATATATATGTAATCTCCCTCTCTAGGGCTCAGTTTCCCCTTCTGCACAACAACGGACTTAGGAAGATTTCAAAAGTATCCTAGGAAGATCTCAAAAGTATCCACCTGTGTGGTCTTTTTCCTCTGAATGTTGGAAACAAAATTTCAATGAAGTTGACTTTGATAAAAGGGGGAGGCTCTGTGAGGGGGGCGGGGCAGGAGCGATGCAGGAAATCGCTGTACTTTCTGTTCAGTTTTGGGGCGCACCCGAAAACTGCTCTAAAAAATAAAGTCTGGTTTTAAAAATAAAAGAATACGTTAGGGGCGCCTGGGGGGCTCAGGCCGGGTGAGCATCCGACTTGGGCTCAGGTCAGGATCTCGCGGTTCGAGGGTGAGCTCCGCATCGGGCTCACTGCTCTCAGGCCACTTTGAGTCTTATGTCTCCCTCTCAGTCTCTGCCCCTCCTTTACTTGTGGTCTCTCTCTCTCTCAAAAAATAAATAAAACAAAAATAGATAAATAAAAGAATATATACAAATCTCAGGTGTTCCCCAACATGGACAATGGTCAGCGGGGGGGAGGGGGGGACGCTATTTCTATTTGCAGTGGAGACGTGGAGGACCCCTCCCCCCCACAGGTTAGTGCCTTGCGCGGGGCCACACTGCTACTTAAGTGGCAGGTTAGGAGGCTTGCCCCTGGGCCACGCTGCTACTAAGTGGCAAGCATTGGGGTTTGATTGTAGCCGTGTACTTGCTACAGTGCCGCATGTTTCCATTAAAGTCTGCCCTGAGTCAGCTATTACATGAATGATGCCCAGATAAGAACCCCAAGCAGAGCTCCCCATTGCCTCCCCACGGGCCCAACCCCCTCATTTAGGATTCTGACTGGTCTTTGCAGCTCGGATATGATCAGTCAGAGTTGTGAACGAACCCCTCATTCTTGGCCTTTTCCAGTCATCTCCCCAAGCTGATAGCCCCTCCTGACATCTCTCAGCGGCCCTGCACCCCCTTCAGGAGTGGTAAATGCCATTCCAGCATCTGAAAAGTTGAGGTCAAGCCTCTGACACAGTGTCACACTCTGACCTTGAGGAGCCCACTGACCTTCATAGGGCCTCCATTTCCCAGCATAGGAAACAATGAAAGGATAATGGCCCCGTCCTGCTCATCTGTCTTATATTAAGGACCAAACAAAGTCAGACGGGTGATGTCCTCTGCGGACTCTGTAGCCGTGTAAATGCTGTCTCGTTATCTTTTTTTCAAACTTGTTCCAAGGGCTGATGGCTTTGTCCTCGCTCCTGTCCCTCCACCCCAGTTTGCAGAAAACTCAACAGGGTCACCAGCGACCACCCAATCTAGAGGTCGGGTGGCCTGCTGGCCAAGCGCACAGGCTGGACTGGTGGGTTGAACCTGGGCTTCACCACTCACGAGCTTGCCGACATAGGTACGCTATTTTGCCTCTCAGTTTCCTCATCTGTAAAATGGGCATAGTATAGTAGGAGCTACCTCAGAGTGCTGCATATAAGTGAATCCACGTAGGGGGTCAGAATAGTGCCGGGTACACAGCGAACACACAATGAATGAACTCTTCTCTGGGTCCCTCTTCCTCCATCCCTTGTCACCCCCTACCCCACTCCACCACCACCCCTCCCCCCGGTGAGCTAGAGCCCTCATGCCCTGCCCTATTGAATCTGCTTCAGAAAT